CCTTCTATCAACCCATCACTTGCTACTGTTCTACGTTTTTTGTTTCATCTCGTCTAGCAGCCTTTCCCTCTCTTCCTTAAGAGTTTACCTCTCCACCATAGTTTCTAATCAGCCCCCTAACTCTCCGGCAGCTGGTTTCTTCAAGCATCCAACATTGAAACGTTTTCTTAAAGGTCTATCATATTTACCCAGATACCTGCCCGTCTTCTCTGCAATGGTCACTAACACTTGTACTGCAACAACTTAATAAAGCTTGTTTTGAGCCTTTAGCTTCAACTGATTTACAGCTACTTATCTTTAAAACAGTTTCCCTCGTCGCCATCACCTCAGCTTGATGAGCTAGTGATTTAGCGGCCTTATGTCATGATTATCCTTATTTACAGTTTTTTTCCAGACAAAGTCAGACTATCCATGGATATTTCTTTCCTCTCCAAAGTCATATCTCAATTCCATCTCTCTCAGCCATTTATCCATCCTTCTTTCTTCCTGTCACCATCCACAACTCAAGAAAGTCTCCTCCATACGTTAGATGTTAGGCAAGCCTTTGCCTTTTACGTCCAACACACCCACCTTTCAGGTGTTCACCTCTACTTTTCATAAGTCACCAACCACCTACTAAAGGTTGTCAGGTGATGTCTCAAACTATATCTAGATGGGTCGCTTCAACCATTCACCTCATGTATCAGCTGGTACGCAAAGCAGTCCCGAAGGTAATTTGTCCTCACTCCACCAGAGCAGTGGCGACGTCTATGGCATTCCTATGTGGCGTACCTCTTCCAGACGTCTACGCATCTGCCACCTGGGCAAAGCCATCCACTTTCATCCAGCATTATAGACTTGATCTCCGGCAGAAGTCTGATCCACCCTTTGGGCATGCTGTTCTAGCCTCTAGCTTGGCGTGGCACCCTGCCTCCGGGTAAGACAGCTTTTTAGTCACCCAGGGTGTGAATCACAAAGATCCACTCTAAGAATTACAATTACAGGTAGGTAACCTGTCGGTCTTTGTTGGATTTGACAGGCTTGATGAACGTAGAATTTTTGTACCTCCCAAGACTCATTGTTAGAAGAAATACACTTTGCCTGAACTGATGCCCAGAGTTCATGCTTTTGTGAGAATTTCAGGGCTTTTCAGAGAAATAAAATGCTCACAAAATGATGAATATGTTTTTAAAATATGAATGGCTAAAATAGATACAATTGGAAAAAACTATGCATAAAAACACTTTAGACAATGGAAGAAGTGCATAATTCAGATTAAATGTATATGGAAATGGATCATAAATTAGTAATGGTTAAAGGGGTTTCTGGGGGTGGGTTATTAGACTACAAAAAGCCTTTTTAAAGAACTGGTCAGGAGGGAGGGAAGTTGCCAGAGGTTGGAGGAGAAAATTCTAAGAGTTCAAGGGCATAATTTAACACCCCCATGAGGAAAATACAAAAAAAAATTTACATGCATTTCAGTGGAGGCAGAAAAATCAAAGTCTTGAAACCTGACACGAAACAAATGCAGGAAGAATATGTGAGCGGAACATGGAGAAATCCAGCAAAACCCATACTGGGAAGATCTCACATATTTAGTCTATGTTATTTAAAACGAAGCTGAAATCTCCCTCACCCCTCCCATGTCTCCCATTTTTAAAATTACTCTCAATTCCAGTGACTACAACATTCTTAAGTCTTCAACAGGTGTAGGAACATTTAGCAGTAAGGATGTAAATCAATCTTCTTTCCTTCCTTCCTTTTAAAGGATTTCAGGACGGGTTACAAAGCTGTATAAAATAATTTGAAAGCATAAGCTATTTAAAACAATTTAAAATGAAACACAATGGGCGGGGTATAAATGAATGAATGAATGAATGAATGAATGAATGAATGAATGAATGAATGAATAAGATAAACCTAAAACAGTCAAACATTGGAAACATTGCACTAAAACCTGTTCAGGCTACCATCCTCAACTCCCAAAGTCTCTAACAGATAAGCACCAACTGAGCAAAATTAAGCAAAACGATGGAAATAATTTTAGCACAAATAACACAAATTGCACAATATGACAATGGCTGCTTTTTTCCACATGCTTTCAAGGATTAGAAGGCCTGTTTGTGTCTTTCTGCTCAACTGTATAGTCTTTCTGTGCTTGCTACATTTGGATGTTTAGGTTCTCAAAATGAAAAAAAAATATTAGTTTTGTTTAGAGATCATTACTCCAATTTAAAAAAATATAGTACTCCTGTCATTCTCACTGGGGTCCTTCCAGGTGTCTTATTGAGTTAAATCATCCTAAATCAACCGTGAATAGAGATTTTTAAGTAAAATTAACTAAAAATAACTATACTCATTAGTTTTTTGGAAACAGGAAGGTAATGCTTTGCTTAAATACTGAATTATAATGGTAACTAGCTCTTGGGAGCATTTGGAACTCTAACTGCAACTTTTAAATTCAGCTTTCCAAGCTCTTCTGGTAAGTAAAGGTGTCACACTCTTTTCTTCTTTGCACAGTGAAAGCAAACTCTTTTTACCCTATAGACCTGTTTCTGCTGATACTGCAAACAGGAAGCTGCTGCCCAGAGATACAGCCATCGTGCACAGTTCAATGAAGTCAAGTTTTCATAGGGTTGCAGATCGTCAGAGGCACAATCTTTGCAATAGATACTTGCTGGTTCACGGTTCCGATACATAAGAATCTGGTAAAGTTGTAATTGTCATTAGCTGCTAAATTTGAAAGACTTCTTAAAATCCCTTTTTATTGCTTTCTGCACAGTATGCATTATTTTTTCGTATGGCTCATTAAACCCACCAAAGATAGCATAGCATTGTGGACAGAGACACATGCTCCACCTTAACGTATTCACCCTCCTAGAAACAGAAAAACAAAGAACTTTCACACTCAGGAGAAAACACTTCTGAGACCTCAGCCTACACCAGAATTTGGCAGACATTTTTACTCTACTCTCATGCTGTCTTTGTACCTGAGGCTAACAGCGGCATGGAGGGATTTCAGTGTGGGGCTCATTGAAACCACCACCAGATATTGTTTCTCCTAGTGCTGATGATGTGAAAGTCTTGTCATTGGGGAAAAAATGAAAAACGTGGAACAGTCTTGTGCCAGATGTTTTCAAGAGGGGAAAAGAGCATTTGAACATGCACATATGCTGCTATTGAGGGATACTGAACTCTGGGAATTAGCAGAATGCTTGGATTGTGTTGTTCTGTATCATGATTATTCTTATATGGTGCCTAACATAGGGCCTAGTCAGACAGCCAAAAATCCTGGGCTTTGACTTGTGTTAAAAACCATGCTGAATGTCACGTTCACACTTTGAATTCAAAAGTGCATATTTATTTTCCTCTGACTCATATTATTTTCTTCGGAAGCGAGTTAAAATAAATGGCCACGAGAGGGCTGTTTAATTTAGCACGTGGTCTTCTTAACCTCCTTAAGCCCTTTCTGAACTGTAGCGCCAGGAGCATTTCAATTATTCAGTAGGAATGCAGGAAACAACTAAAAAAACACATGACTTGAGTTAGCTAAAATTAAAACGCTACATATTGTGGGTTTTTCAAGAAATGTGGACAGGCTCTTAGTCTTAGTCAGGGAAACTACATTCACTGCAACACATTTTTGTAAAACAACGTGTACTTTTCTCTGTGCCATTTTTTACTTTAGCAAAAACTAACAGATATTTTCTTTCATTCTTGTAACATTTAGCCGCAGGGCTTTGTTTAAAAAATGCATCATTGGTGGAATTGTCCAATCATTTCATCTATCATCATGGGCTGAATTATTCAATAAAGATGTAATTAATCTTTCTGCCAGTTTTTATAGAAGATTAGAAATCCCTCTCAGTTTGGTGTTAGTGTATCAATATAATAAAATTTTAATTACAAGTAATCATTAATAGATTAACAGAGTTCTTAGAAGATTGTAAAGAGTTTCATAATTGCTGTACAATATTAATTTAAAATCTTAATGCTACATATTTTAATATTACAGTGCATTAAGGTTTTTATTTTAAAGTCAGGCTGTACATCTTTTTTCCAAAAACTAAATATGGAAATAAATTCTTTCTCTTAATACCAACCTTTGAAGACTCATCTTGATTTTGGTTTGGCGGGAGGATGAAACTGGCTGCAAATTAGATTCTACAATATACCTTGTTCCATGTTTTTGAACTGATTAGTTTCATACTGTTGGTAGTAACTCACCCGGTTGAATTCAGCTTGGGATTTTGTAGCAATCTTCAGTGCTGCGTTCAAACCCCTGAGGGATGGCGTAGAGATTCTGTCAGACCCTTTTTGATGGATGTGTATTTCATTCTGTGGCTGTACTTTGTGCTCATTTAAAAGAACCACTCTTCAATTTGTAGCAGAACATTTTCAAAATGAAGTTTAGAGAGGCAACAGTCTGTCAGCTGGACTGGAGTACTGCTCATTGCTAAAATTGAACAGGCTGTTTGTATGAGTAAAGCTCCGGCTTTGTGCTCTTATGGTTCTCACAGTTTATCTGTAATAAGGCAACAAAATGCATGCCAGTATTCTCCATACAAATTACTGTACATTTTATGCTGATACAAATTACTGTCTTTGGTAGTACTGATATACCCCCAAATCTTCTCTTTCTGTTCCTCTCCAATGTGGGTGATATGTTTCTGAACCCTTTTAGGCCAGTACTTTGCTTCTGACAATAAGAAGAGCAATAGCTCTGATGGAACCCCTAAATATGCCTTTTACAACTCACACAAACAGGTTTTTTTCTTGCATTCATTTTCTCTAATCTTACAAATGTAGGTAGCAAACAGCATTCAAACTACAGATCTGAATGCAACCCACATGGTTCATTTCTGTTATCTAAAGGCAGGCTTCTTAGCCTTATTAACAGATGATTTACCTTTTACAAATAAGTAAATAAATAAATTGTGTAAATCACGAAGAAATGTACAAGATCTTTTTTTTAAACAAACATTAATTAGTTAATTGTTTCTGAATTTTGAAATCTATAGGTGTTACTTGGAAGATGGAGCTTCAAAAGGTGCCTGGCTGAATCGGTCCAGTATAATTTTTGCAGGAGGGGACAAGTGGTCAGTAGATCCTCGAGTTTCAATTGCAACAGCAAATAAAAGGGAGTACAGCCTCCAGATACAGGATGTGGATGTGTCAGATGATGGTCCATATACCTGTTCAGTCCAGACCCAACACACACCGAGAACAATGCAGGTGCACTTAACAGTAAAAGGTATGTCATTCAATTTCATACTAACTAGAAGTGAGAAGTATTCTGTTTTAAAGAGGAAATCTATTTGACATGATGTGATGTAACTTACAAATATTTAATATATTCCTCTTTGTCTCTTTTTTCTTATTGACCTTTTTTCCCTTCAAGTAAGAATATAGGAATGAATGTGTTAATTGATTTTTTGTTTAAAATATGTGTACAGTATTATAACAAAAAACAAAATGCGAATTTTGCAGTTCCATGTGAATGTTCAGACTCCCAGATTGATTTCACCTATGCCATGCAATTATATTATATCAGGGCTTTGAAACATTCACAAAATTTGTCTGAGATTGTCAGCAATAACATGTGAATCGTATCATGAACACTCATAAACTTGCCTTGCAAGAGGTATGAAATAGTGTGAACAGGTGATAGATATGTAGAGGAGTTGAATGTATAAATATTGACACTAATGAACAAAGGCAGTGCTGGAGAGAAAATATGATAATTCCAGAATTCATTGTATTCCAGTTACAGTGATTTAAAAAAGCATGGCTACATGATTAGTCCCTTTTAATGTGTATGGAGTCCAAACACATGGAAACTCTGTGAGATAGCATGAAACAAAATCATTGTGTATAAATGCCCACTAGTTGTTGGTTTGTTATTATCAGTGATCTTTCTTCAAAGCAAGTGATACAGTGGTCAGAATCTAGTGTTTGAATAAGTTTTGTGTTAATTTGGTGCAGCTAATTGTAGCTAATTTACAAGACGCTGGCATGTGGTTCAGTTTCATGTCTGGTTACTCACCAAATTTCAGAATTGATATGCACCCTGGTGCCTTGTCAATTGGGTACAATTAGCTGCAGCAAGCTAAACGAACCTTACACAAACACCAATAGGATTCAAGCCGTGATAGTCTGCAAATTCACACTTCAGCCTTAATCCAAGTGCTAAGTGTGAGGATAGTCTTGTTTTTCAGGCTATGGCCCTATATGGAGGCCCACAAAACTCAGACTTCCTTCTGAAAGGAAGCCTACAGAGGTGCACTGATGGTTTCCCCTCTATGTACTGTATAAAAGTCAGTGATTTCATTTGTTGTCAAGTTCCCCTTTGTTCCTCCACAGTCTGCTTGCTTGCCACACATATTTTAGATGGCATTATGTCACAATAACCAGAAAAAGGTACTGAAGAGATATGGTATCTTGTGCCCTACAGTTTCTTTAAGTGAGTTGTTAAGAAGGTTTAGCCAATTTTATGATCTTATTTATCATTAGGTCCGTCCAGACATTTTCTTTCAAGTAATAAAATGAGAAAGTAGCTGGAGAGTTAGTTTATTTTGTGGTTCAATTCAGCATCTTATTTTATTTTGAAAAACTCAGTTCACTGTGTCACCGTTCTCTAAAAGTAATTTGCAAGGCACAGATTTCTGCCCACAATCAGAGCGGTCTCGGTGTGTTCCATCTACTTATGTACTACTTACCTGTCTGTTCCGTCAGAACAATTAAAAACTGTAGCAAATTTCTCAGTTTACAGTTTCCTTCTGGTGGAGGTAGAAAGATAAGACTTCCAATCAAAATCATTTTCAGTAAGCTGTATATCACCTTTCTTAATTATGATTGTGGGTAAAAAAGCTGTAGTTGTATTAAAGACACACAAACTGTTCACTAAAGTCCTGTCTTGAGAAGAAGTAGAGCATCCAATTATGTTTTCTTGCTTCGTAAAGAAACATCACTTAAAGGGCCAAAGCTCAGCTTTGCTGTCTATCTCTTAGACTCATCATAAGAATGCCTGCACTGATATCAAATTAAGCCTGGATCTGATATTTGCCTGCCTTGGTTGATATAGGAACATGGTTAAACCATGTTACAGAATCCTTGTTAGGAAGCTTCTTCAAAGCATTCTAAGGATGTGTAGACAACCTTCTCTGGCAGATTATTTTGGTAGACATCACTCAGTCTAGAATGCAACCCTGTTTACAGCTGGACGCTCTTAGTGCTCCAGAATCAACATATTGATAATGCCGTGGATGCATCTGGAAATAAGGACATAGTTGAAAAGCATGCATAAAATATATTCCAAATGTGTGGACATAACTACTTATAAAGCCGTACCCAAATATCTGCATTTGTGTCTCAATAGTCAAATATCCTATTTAGTGTTCACTTTCAGTGGTGCCTCGCTTAACAGTGATAAACTGTTCCAGGAAAATTGCCATTAAGCGAAAACATTGTAAAGCAAAAATAAAAAGCCCATTGAAACGCATTGAAAACCTTTCAATGTGTTCCAATGGGCTTAAAACTCACCGTCCAGCGAAGATCCTCCATACGGTAGCCATTTTCGCTGCCTGTATAGTGAGGAATCTGTCCCTAAACACAGCGGGGAGCCATTTTAGTTACCCAGTGGCCATTTTGAAACCGTCGATCAGCTGTTTAAAAATCATCGTTTTGCAAAGAATCAGTTCCCTGGTTCGGGAACCGATCATCGCAAAGTGGAATCCCCCCATTTAGACCATCATTTTGCAATCGCAACTGCGATCGCAAAAAGATGGTCATAAAGCGAATTTGTCGTAATGCAGGGCAATCGTAAAGCGAGGCACCACTGTAGTGTAAATATCTATGAGTATAGATATGCTGAATCACAACAGGGGTTTCAAGCCCGTGGCATGCCTTGCTAAACCCTTTCAGCAGTCCATTGGGATTTCTGGAGTATATGTACAAAGAAACTGCTGCTGTCTCAACAACACTATATAAAGATTGCTCACTTAGATGTGTTTAGGATATTGCCTTTCTATGGAGAGTGAAAAAATTAAACTGCAAATGGACTTCACAAAGATTTTAGCAGTACAACTGAGTGAGCCCTTTTTAGAAATGTGTTTCTGTATATCTGTAAATGCTTGGAAGCTGAGCAGCATTTTTTACTTTATACAATTTTGTTATTAAGAATGTTTATTGTCTTTGAACTTGCCGTTTTTAAAAAAATATGGACTACTATAGAAGCCATGTAGATAAATAAAGCATGATAAGGGTGAAGTAGCCTGCAATTGATGCAACAAAGAAAGGGCTTGTATACTTAGATACCCAGGTGGATTTTGATTCGGTGTGTTTCCTTCTGGGATTAACCCTTTAAATGACAAATTGGCTTCTGATCTTTGCCCAAGATGCCTGTATATCTCTGCAGGACTCTTGGTGGAGTCAGGCATCCTCTTAAGGATCTGATACAGTGAGAGTTATGTGAGCATAATAGAATCCTGGCACATCTATACAGCAACATCTGCAGCAGAAGCAGCTTAAATAACTGCAAAATGCAGAGAGCAAAATGTGTATACAGTATTTTGCAACCATAGACTCCTTAGAACAAAATACATTTGACAAGACATCAAAATGTCAGTGAAGAGTGGGACTAATCCTGAATCTCAAAAAAAGGGAATTCCAAACTGAAGGGGTCCAATCTGCAAAAGCTGTATGTCACATGAACTCACCAAACATACTTTTGCTGAAGTTTTTTTTAAAGGTCTCTCTCTTTCAGTGGCCTAAGGAAACAGGAAGGATTGTGGGCTGGGGGGGGGGGGAAATAGAAGGTGCTCTTTCAATATGTGGGTCCCCAAAGATTGAATATATTAAAGGTGCAACCGTAAACATTAGGAAGGAGGAATCTGTGGCTCTCCAGATGTTGTCCAGCCCCAAAACCCATCAGCTCCAGACGGCATAATCAATGGCCAAGGATGATGATAGTTGTTCAGGAACCTATGAAAAATCATAAGTCTTCCATTCCTACCATGTAGACTGTGTTTACATCTCATTAAACTCAATAGGGCTTACAATAAATATTAATTGTGTGCCATCAAATCAATTCTGACTTATGGCAACCCTTTCCAAAGTTTTCTAGGCAAAACACACACAAAAAAATGGTTTACCATTCCTTTCTTCTGGAGGCAGCCTGGGACTGTGCCGCTTGCCCATGGCTACACAGGCTGGCTCTTCACCCTAGAGGCACAATGGTTAATCTAACATCCAACCTCTGGCTCACTTCTGATCATATATTGCCATAGTAATCAATCTAGGCCCCAAACTGAAAGCCAATGTAGCATTTATGCAGTATAGGGCAGTGGTCCCCAACCTTTTTGGGGCAGCGGACTGGCTGGGGGGGAGCGGGCTCCATGTACACCATGGGTGTGTCACACGAGCACGCAGGTGCAACACACCCCTGTACGAGCGTGACATGGCCACCACTGGTGTGACCCCCCCGCAAATGTGACACGCCCACTGTGTGCAGGGGGAGATCCGTATCCGCAGCCCAGTTCCAGCAAGCCCACAGACCGGCACTGGGGGCTTGCGGACCGGGGGGTTGACAACCTCTGGTATAGGGGACACATAGTTTGAATGTCTATTGCATACAAAAATCCTGTGGATGGGATCCATGGGGAGCTTGGAGGGACTCCTGTTGGACAGTACACTCTGCCTTCAGCAATCACACAACATTGGCAAGGAACTCTCCACATACCAAGGAAAATGGGCATGGCAGCTGGATGCAGGCAGCAGAGAATAGTCTTCCTTTCAAAAGTCCTACGCTAAGTGATCAAAAAGGGGAGAAACTGAATGCATGAGCAGGGAAATGGTTCTAGTCCCATCCTTGTCTACTGGTGTCTCCTCTACAGCCTCTTTACACATGGGGTCTTCCCACATAATTAGGGATTATGGAGGAATCAGAGATGCCAATTGCATGGAGAGGTTTTACCTGTAGCTATAAAGTTCCCCCCTTTCCAACTGCCCTTGTTCACATGGAGACATGGGAAGGCAGAGGGTGGGACTAGAACTCTCTTCCTGCTCCTGCTTTTGATTTGACCCTTTTCCCAAGTGCCTGCACAGGGCCAGAAATCTTCCAACAGCTGTGTGCAAATGTAATTATTCCTTTGAAAGTGACTGGCATTTAAACCAGTTCATGGAAGCATTAATGAAGTTCAAGTGGGACAGATATCATTACACCAAACAGGGTCAGTCTGAAAAGAGAGTAAATGT